CGTTAAGACCACCGAGGAGTCGGTACCCAAACAGTACCACGAGTTTCTGAAGGTCTTCTCGAAGGAAGCATCAGAACGGCTACCCGAAAGAAAGCCGTACGATCATGCGATCGAACTCGTGCCCGGCTACTCCACATTCCATTCAAAGGTATACCCATTGTCGAGCAACGAGCAGGAGGAACTGGACAAGTTCCTAAAGGAGCAGTTAGCGAAGGGCTACATACGGGAGTCGAAGTCACCCATTTCGTCCCCCTTCTTCTTCATCAAAAAGAAGGAAGGGACGCTTCGACCCGTGCAGGACTACCGCCGATTGAACGCGATCACGGTCAAGAATCGTTACCCCTTGCCGTTGATCGCCGAAATGGTGGACAAGCTCCGCGGTGCTACGCTCTTTACGAAGTTCGATGTCCGGTGGGGATATAACAACGTCCGGATCAAAGCCGGTGACGAGTGGAAGGCGGCGTTTGTAACTAACCGAGGATTGTACGAACCCCTGGTGATGTTCTTCGGTCTCACCAACTCCCCCGCGACCTTCCAGGCCATGATGAACAAGATCTTCCACGATCTCATCGTCGGCGGCAAGATCCTTGTGTACCTAGATGACATACTCATCTTCTCCACCAACAAAGAGGAGCATGAAAAGGTCACACGCGAGGTTCTGCGTCGCCTTCAGGACAACGATTTGTTCCTGAAGCCTGAGAAGTGCGAGTGGGACGTTCCCAAGGTCGACTACGTCGGCTATGTGTTCGGTGGCGATGAGGTGGCGATGGATCCCGCGAAGCTCAAAGGAATTAATGAATGGCCGGTACCCCGGAACAAGAAAGATGTTCAGAAGTTCCGGGGGTTCTCCAATTTCTACCGCCGCTTCATTAAAGACTTCGCTAAGATCTCGCGACCACTCGACCGGCTCACAGGGAACGACCCATGGCATTGGGGCGAAGAAGAGCAGCACGCCTTCGATGAGCTCAAACGGCTCTTCGCGACGACTCCAGTCTTGGCGCTGTACGACCCTAATCGGGAGACGCGCATTGAGGTTGACGCCTCGGGGTACGCCACTGGCGGCGTGTTGATGCAGAAGCAGGATGACGGCAAATGGCATCCCATCGCCTTCAGATCACATGCGATGGATCCGGCGCAGCGGAACTACGAGATCTACGATAAGGAGATGCTCGCGATCATTGAGGCGCTAGACGATTGGCGCCACTACCTTGAGGGGTTACCCAATCAGTTCGAGATCGTGACCGATCATAAGAACCTCGAGTACTGGCGTACATCCCAGCATCTCACGCGCCGTCAAGCGCGATGGTCGCTGTTCCTAGCTCGCTTCGACTTCCGCATCACGCACAAGGCCGGGACGTCCAATGGAAAGGCTGATGCCCTGTCGCGTTGATCAGACCATCAGATCGGCGATGAGGACGATAACACCGATCAGGTGGTTCTCAAGCCAGAGCGCTTCCGCATCGCCTCCGCCCGGCGCGGTCATGCCTCGGTGACGGCCGATCAGTCGCTTCTGAAGTGCATCAGGGAATGTTCGGAGAAAGATCGGGAGGTGGCCGAGGCACTTGAAAAAGTGCAGGACCTCGGACCGCCCCGGCTGCAAAGGGGTTTTGAGGAGTGGAATGCCGAACAAGGGCTTCTGCTGTTCCGCGGGTGCGTGTACGTCCCAAAGAACGCGGAGCTCCGGCGGGATATAGTCAAGATCCACCACGACTCGCCGATCGCCGGTCATGGCGGTCGTGCCAAAACCCTTGAGCTCGTGTCGCGGAACTACTGGTGGCCAGGAATGTCCAAATTCGTCAATGAGTACGTAAGCACCTGTGACGTGTGCAACCGTACCAAGACATTCCCAGCCAAGCCCCAGGGTCCGCTGAAGCCGAATGAGATCCCCGAGCGCCCGTGGCAGATCATCACGACCGATATGATCGTCGGCTTGCCGAAGTCTGATGGATTCGACTCGATCCTGGTCACCGCCGACCGCTTTACCAAGCAGGTCCACTTCTCGGCCTGTCATGAGACCCTGACGGCAGAAGGTGCGGCAGATCTGTACATCCGCGATGTGTTCAAGCATCATGGGGCCCCGGCCAAGGTCATATCAGACCGAGGTCCCCAGTTTGCTTCGAAATATCTCCATGCGGTGTACAAGGGACTGGGAATCGAGCCGGCGCTGTCCACAGCGTTCCACCCTCAGACAGACGGCCAGACTGAGCGCTGGAATCAGGAGATCGAACAGTACCTGCGTGCCTTCACAAGCCACAGGCAAGATGATTGGGCGAAGCAGTTGCCGCTCGCGGAGTTCGCATTGAACAACCGAGTTCACTCCGCGACCGGGCACTCCCCATTCTTCCTGCATCAGGGGTACCATCCTGAGATCCAAGTGCGGATCAATCCGATGTCTGCGATGCCTGCGGCCGCTGATCGGCTCAAGATCCTGAAGGAGATTCGCGACGACACGCGCTCTGCGCTCGAGCTGTTGGCCGAGCGCATGAAGGTGTACTACGACAAGCACGTGCAGGAGGCACCGGTCTTCGCGCCGGGGGACAAGGTCTGGCTTGATGCCCGGAACCTTAAGCTGAAACAGCCGAGCAAGAAGCTCAGTCCCAAGCGCCTCAGACCTTATGCCGTGCGGCGAAAGCTCGGAGACTTGGATTACGAATTAATCCTGCTGAAGTCAGTGCCGGTGCACCCGGTGTTCCATGTCTCCTTGCTTAGCAAGTACACACATAGCGATATCCTGGGCCGGGAGCCAGAGGAGCCGCCTGCGATTGAGGTTGAGGGCGACGAGGAGTACGAGGTTGAACGGATCAAAGATTCGCGGATCTTCCGGCGTCAGCTGCAGTACCTCGTCAAGTGGAAGGGTTATGACGACTCGCATACGTCATGGGAACCGGCGCGCAACGTTGCCAATGCGCCGGCCCTCATAGCCGACTTCCACCGAAAGAACCCGAACGCCCCTCGCCGCCTCAATGCTGCGGTATTTGGTGGTCTCAACTTTCAGCCAATGCCTTCGCCGCTGACTGAAGCACGCTGCCGCTCTGGATGGGAGATGGGCAAGGGCGCCTCGCATGAGGTCATGCGCCGTTGAGGGGGGGGTAATGTCACGACTTGGTACGGCGCCTAGCCGTTTTTTAATTTTTTCCTTTTCGCGGGCTCGAACCCGCGACCTCTGTACTACCTGCCTGATATGGACACGTCGTTATCTACTGTACGATTAG